GATTTCATGATATACTTAAAATAAAATCTGTTAAATTATATTGGATTCCAATATAGATAAATACAGAATCCCTAAAGAAAGCCCAACACGGCAAAATTGATAATGTTGCAGGCTCGGTTTGATTGAGCCTGTTCATGGACGGTACTGGAAAGTGCAAGTTACCGTCCACGCCCCCTAGCACCGGCTTAAGCAGAATTCAACATTTAAACATGAAATGGTAAAATTTTGAATTTAGAAACATCCGCAGATGTGTTCATACGGCGGTTATCATGGAACCTTCAATGTGACACTTCGTGCCATTCCATGAAAAGCGGCGTATGGTCCCCAAGTGATAAAAAAAAGCGTGTGCCCTAAACGAGAAAACAATGGGCGGAACTAAATAAAATAGAATTTTGAAAGGGGATCAGAGGTTATGAAGCCTGCGTATCACAGATAAGACGTCAAAAGACAAATTTAAAAAGCAGGCAACATATCCTAAGGGTGATTCAACATTATTCAAGTAGGAATATTGGAACCACCCAACTAGAAAATGCCGAAAAGTTGAAACTAAAAATACCACAAGCACAACAATAATGTCGTGCTGAACGATCTTCAAGGATCGAAAATATAACATCATTGATTAAATGTACGGGGTAAATTATTTTGATTATTCAAAGTTCTTTATTGTGGTTTCATATCTTTATTGTTGTCTCTTTTTTGGAAGTTGCTATGAAACCAGCGCGAATAAAAGCACCAATAACAGATATAAAAGGTGTGTTTAACTTTAGGTAATTATTAATGAGCCACAATTTTCCTAGAAATCTTTGTATATGATTATCTGCTAATTGCGATAATTTCCTCGAGAATTTCAAGGAATCCATTGGTGTCACCGTTAGAAAAAATGCTAACCGTTTAAACGGTGGCGTTATAACCGTGTTGAACGTTTAACCGACTGTACTAATAAAATCCTTGATTTTTCAACAATAACTTTGTTTCTTAATGACGAGAAATGCCATTTTGTTCACATTTTGTTGTACTTAAAATGATGGAATGTCACGTGGTGAAAAAGTATGAATTTTACACTCTGTTAACTTTTATAGAATAAAATGCAAATTAGTTATATGGACTAAATTTTTGCTAGATAAGTAAGTTAATGTGTGTTCACATGCCAACAAAAGGAAAACAACAATGTGAAAAGGAAAATGGGAAAAAATAAACGTTAACAGAGATTTTGCCTATGTTAGAACAGACATGTATACATAGCACAGTGAAGACAATGGACAAACCAGTTTTGCCAGTTTACCTACCAGTTTAACAGAGATAGTTATGACGAAAATAATCAAAGCAAACGAAAGAAACAACAGTAAGTAAAATATATAGTGAAATGAGTACTAATGGAACTTTTCCACAATCATTTACCGGCCAACTCCGTATCAGTATAATCAACAATATCTTGGTCCACTTGCGCCAGGTACACCAATGATGAATCAATGTACAAATCAAACATCACCAGGGGCTTTAATGGAGAACATGACAACGATAATCGCTCGAAGTTTGGTGCCGTCTGGGTGCGGGTGCGTCGGTGTGTGTCGTGGGCTGCGTCCTGTGAAAGTTGTCTTTGCCTTGTTGATCTTTATTCTTTCTTTCTTTTTTTTTTTTTTTTTTCTTTTTTGATACAATTGACAACATTGAAAAAGTAGTAATATAGAGAGAAATAAAGAATCCTTCAAGAAAGCCCAACAAGACAAAAATGAAAAAAGTTGCAGGCTCGGTTTGATTGAGCCTGTTCATTGACGGTAATTGAAAGTGCAAGTTTGGGTCCACGCCCTAAATCGGCTTAAGCAAATGTAAACTCAGTTTGCTGGAGGCAGTAGTGTGAAAATGTTTGACCAAATTTATAGGGTTTTATTTTGGAGAATGTTACTGAATGAAAACATTAATACAAAGTTACTGCAATCAAGCCAGAGTATGGTACTATTAAATCGTTTGTGAAATATAAAAACATACATTCTGATCAAATTGATTTTAAGATTAGTATCAAACAGGGAGATCCAGCAAGTAGCATATTGTGTTTTATTTTTCTCAATGATATATTAAATAATATAAATAGAAACATTTAGGTATTGTTAACATTGATGATATACATGTATTTTTGTTGTTATTTGCAGACGACGCTGTAGTTTTCAATCATTACAATCTATTTTAACATTATTTAACAAAACATTATTGTAATATGTGAAATCTATATCATGTTAAAAACTGATGCCGACAATTATGTAGCTTATAGTGGTAAAAACTGGGTATATACTATTTTAGAGCAGACTGGCTGGTTTTATATGTGGGAAAATGAATTCACTATGCATATATGTGCAAAACTTTAGCAACTTGCGAAATAACTAGTCATTTTTAATGAAGTTACATATGTTATACATGCATTGTGCTCTCCTGTATATTGAAAATTGTATGGCTATGGAACATGTTGTTTTAATGCAATAAAATAGTTGTAGTTTGTATTCCAGGCTTACATGGCAATAATTCATGATTGCCGATTTCCGTAGTAACTCTATTGTGAATATTTATTGTTTCAGTTGTATTTCTTACTTGATTATTATCATCAGAAGACGTAAGAATGTATACGCTCCTATTGAAATATATGTTAAGTTTGTTTGTAATAGATTTTCTGTTCCTTTTTAAAGTGGCCTTCAGCTTTTATTTTCTGTCAGAAAAACAATTTTGTATTGTTTCAAATTAAGTATTTCATAGAGGATATTTGTTTAGTTCAGTGTAAGATCGGAATATATTTCACCGAGTAAGCACCAAAATGTATATTTCACGAGTGGCGCAGCCACGAGTGAAATATGAACTTTTGGTGTTCACAAGGTGAAATATATTTCGATCTTACACTAAACTAAACAAATTTTCTTTTTATTATATGCAAAGAAACGTTTTAAAAAGACATTAAACCTTAATACTGAATGAAAAGCGCGCCAAATAATAATACACCGTGACGTCATTTACGACGTCTCGTCATTAAGTTGGTACCCAGTTCTGTGCACGTTGGTATTTCACTGAAACAACGTAAGGGGCTTAAATTCAAAACAGTGAAATTATCAAAGTGGTAATTTAACTGTTTCAAACTACCAGTTTTGAAATTACCAGTTTTATATCACTGATATATTTCCATAAACCACCGAAAAGCATGTAATAAAGTAATTTAATCTTTGAATAGTGCATCATATCACTGTTAAACCTTCTTCAAATCAGCGTCCGGAGGCCATTTAAATACGTCAGTGACGTTTCTTTCGAAAAATAGAAGATCGGGAAACGAATTGTTCACTTTACTAATTTAAAGGAATACTCGGGCAAATTAATGACAAAAATATTAAAATGATCTTATGAACTCAAGTCACCCTAAAATGACATTTTTGCAACATAATTAAATGCTGCTAAAACTAATTAAATGCTGCTAAAACAATGCTAACAGTATGAATTTCTGTATTAAATAACATAAATTTTGGGTTTGAAGCGAAAATATATCTCTATAATTTATGTTGAACGAAATGTAGAAGCCGACAGAAACACCGAGTAGTTTTAAAACAAGTTATGCGACTAGAGCGAACCCTGGAAGTTACAATAAATGTTGTTGTGGATATTATATGATTGACACAAGTTTAAGCCATTCATTTGACATTAATGTTTCCAAAGTTCACTGGGACCACTATTAGACATCTTAACGCTCTAACCTGACCCACGTGAGTCAGGTTAGAAATCCATCATTAAATACTTTATAATGAGAAAAAAATTGTTCCTGTGTCTGCCAAGCATATTCATTTGAGGACATTTACAGAATATGAATGAAAAGTTCAAAACGAAGAAATGAAAAAAAAATGCCTGTGTCAATATAAAGCGTGGACCGGTAGATTACCGGTATCGAGGGCTTTCTTTATTTTTTTGTATTTACCGTCCGACGGCAAATTTCGTTGTCCATCTTAATCCTTTGAAACGATTTATTTACAAATAACAAATTTAACCTTAAGAAACGCCGAAGGCTGCTTTAACGTAAAAAAGTACATTACTCGACTTACTAGACTCAAAATGTAATCGTAGAACTTTTACATTATTACATAAAACTGTGTAAAAACAAATGTGCAACTTATTATAATAAATTTAGCCGCGTCTCGACAAAACCAACATAATGGGTTTGCGACCAGCATAGATCCAGACCAGCCTGCGCATACAATATCCATGCTGTTCTCTACTTGTAATAGGGTTGGTAAGCGAACAGCATGGATCCTGATCAGACTGCGCGGATGCGCAGGCTGGTCTGGATCCATGCTGGTCACAAACCCATTATGTTTGTTTTGTCGTGACACGGCTCATTTCTTTTTTATTGGTAACGTTCTCGTATAACTTTTAATAATGCCCTAACTGAAATAGAGTGTATTTTTTGAAAATACTAGTCCCACATTTTACATTGAACACTTTTCCGCTTTTCTTTGGTATACAAAACAAAAAGTATGCTGGGCATATAAACAAAAATATACCGGTATTGTACGCAGACTCAATTTAAATAAACTCTTACATTCAGTTTTACAAAGTAGATAGATATAGATTATTACCCTAGTGTTAACTTAGTCCTGTATTAATTAAACATTTATTAAGAATATTAGGTCGAGTATAATTATATTATATACACAAATAAATTGCAATAATTAAACAAAAAGAAAATCAATGATAAACATGTAAGAATAATATATTTTATATTTGTAAAGTTTTCGTGACTTTAGATCATGTTCGTCTAAAATAGATTACTTAATATAGATTGTATGCTTCTAAATAGGAGCCCTAAATGTTCACCTTTTTTGCTCTCACGTAGGGGTATGTTTACTTCGTAGCCGATATTAAATACACAGAACAATTTTTGAACTTATTTTAGTTGACTAAAACTACTGACAGATACGAGTTATATAAACCCTGGGGACTTTATCGGAAAATGATTCACACATTTCAGCGTGCATACGTAAGTTAAATACAGCATGCGTCTAACACTGGACAATGATACTTACAATATTGAATGCTAGTCTATGATTTATATACTATATTTATTATATGAAAATATCTTGAAGAAGAACATTTGAAAAAAAGGATAAAAATAAAGAATGAAGCTGGTGTTGCTGAATGTACTCATATTTAGCGCGGGCATTTTCAAAGGTAGGATAACGTATTTATCTATAGAATATTTGTTTATTTATTTCATATATTTAAGAGTGTTAACTCATTCATTTATTTATTCATTCATTTATTCATTCATTTATTCATTCATTCATTCATTCATTCATTTATTTATTTATTTTCTTAAGAGCGAATAGCACATTCACAAATTCAATTAAAATCCTACTTATGATAGCAGCATTATATTTTGTTCCGGAACATTTTGTTCTGCTAATGTACAAAATTCATGGACGTTCTATGTTACAACTTTTTTGAGAATCTGTCATAAGGTTAACCACTTTATTTCACCTGTTTTTTATAATTTTAGATATTTATTGGCATTTACGTCAAGAACTTTAATACATCTATAATGATACTGATATAAATTTATACCTTCTTTTGTCTTATGTACCTCTTTTTGTCAATATTATATTGTATTTATATATTTATTTTTATTGTTTGATTTGGCACAGTTATATATAATTATATTATGGATGAGGAGCGAAATGCTCAAATCTGAAAAGTAAAAATCATATAATGCTGTGTTATTATTTGAAAATCCATTAGATACATAATGAATAATGATCTATTTTGTTCATGACGACGTTTAACATATTGATGTATTGTTTTATAAATCATTACAAGTGAAAATAAATGCCTCAAGGTCATGGTTAATTAAAGAATCACTATAAACTGTCAAAATCATCCTTAAACCCGGAATTACGGAAAGTAATATATTGAGATAACAGAAAAAGAGAGCCTATGGCATTAAAATGATCAAACTGTCAACGTGTTTAATTGTTTTTTTATAATTATATTATTCATAAAAGCACAGTTACACATAAGAAAGGTGAAAAAGAATAACATTCAAACCCCAGGTATAATTTTTGTGAGTGGTATTGTTTATGAACTTTCAATATTTTACAGCAGAACATTGTTGTTTTTGCTTTTTGTTATTTTTTTTCGGGGGGGGGTCGGGTTTTGCGTCGCATCAACACTGTAAATGTCATATGTTTACTGGTGGAGGGAGATCTCAGGTGCTCGTCCGCGTGCATTATTGCAGCCTCCTAGGTAGATATGTAAAACCACTGACGTTATGTAAAAGAAAGGTCAATACAAGCCAATTTTAATCACTATCTTAACTTAAGTGTAATTTTAGATATCATGTATACACTAAGTGCATCTAGTTATAAATATAAATCCTATATTGTAACATGTATGATTTGGGAGACGAATATCATTTTATTATCATTTGTCCATGTTATGGTAAGTTTTGCTTATTTCAAGGGCAGATAATCCACAATCAAAAATAACGATGGGGCCGAAGGCCGTCTGATTTCACCTTGACTTCCGCTAAAATTAACAGTAAAGAAATGAATATAGGCAGAATTTTCATTGGTCATTTTAACACTTATAGCCTGTTTGATTGATACTTTAGAAGAGCTTCCGTTATAGGTAGAGGTCTGTTCGAAACACAATAATGATATATTCTAGATGTTTCTAACAGCTTTTCAATAAATATATGAAATTAAATATGACAGATCGCCTTTTTGATACTTTTGCGTTCGATTGGGTTTCTATTCTTAGCTGTTCTAGTTATTATATTCTCTTCTCGAACCGGGCATAAGAAGATTGAAACGAACTTTCGACTAGTTTACAGTTGCAAAATTCTCCGTGGAATTAGTGCACAGTATCTACTAAATCTTTGTTTTATTATAAATTTCTATTCAAATCAAATTCCATTTTGATTACAATCAAATAATGTAAGTAATATTGTTAACATCTAACATGACAATTAATGGTGAAAAACATTGCGGGTAAAAATGAACTGAAATAAAACTATTGAGGACGAATAAAATGTTCTGTTTGCGGTTAGCATGGTTAGTAGTAGATTATCTTATGCAAGTTAACAAGTTGACTTCGGCCGAGTATCTTTTTAAAGATATTTCTTGTTTCTGCTCCTTTTGAATAATTGTGCAAATAATTGAAGGGGTGTATTTTTCTCCTTCTTTGATATGTCATTTTCTTAAAACAAGACTATATACTTGGTCTGAATAAGAAGAGCCAAATGTTTAATGAAATTCTATAAATTAATGTAAGGATAAAGCTGCCAAAAATGTCAAAAAATACGGCAATTAATATTTAACGTATAATTAATGTTTTAAAAAGAGACACTCTAGCTAAAACAAATACAGCCATCATATCCGAAAGAACACATATGGTGATTGCCTACATGAGTGAGGTCCTCGGTGCGAGTCTTGATGGTACTATATATTACCTTTTAACTTTCTAAATGTTTGCTGTATATTTTGATGTAAATGGTCTAGATCTTTCAAAAGTATAGACACGGGTGTAGAGCAACTCAAAACATTCTTTTGTCACGTTTCGTTTTGTATTCTATTCTAATGAATTTATATGGCATTTATTAATTTCAAGTCGATTGAAATTTAGATACTTATTTTTCTCTAAAAAGAGAATAGACTTTAGCACAGTTAAAGCAAATCATATTAAAAATAAAAACGACCACATAAAAGCACAAATAGCTTCAACTATGTTGAAAAATGAAAGATAAGGAAAAACATGAATCTACGAGGTTTTGATCTTACAACATCTAGGACATGTTCGAGAAAATTACAAAACCGTCTTTTACCCTATTGCGCACAATTGTTTTTTAGATAAAATTAAATCCAAGCACATTTTACTGCTTACATCTCACGAACCTTATCGAAGATTAATATATCGTGTACACCTGTGTACAATTGAATCAATGCATATGTTTTATTTTTTACATTCTTTGCAAATGCATTTATTCGTTTTCTTCACAGTACAAGAATTCTTGTGGCACAAATAGAAAATACATGTACTTCTAACTTTCGCGGTCTTTAGGTACAATACATCTATCTGTACATGTAGTTACTTCTATATACAGTCTCGATTGGCATGCTTTCGGCGATTGTGATTATCATTAAGGAATCGAATCTTAATAAAAACTTTTGCATCTTTCTACTACCAATTGTAACATAACATGTCTGGTTAGCAGATAGACCACTAAAATCTCAAAGTTACCAATGTTTAAATTCCGTATTGTTTTATAACCAGAGTCTAGACATTTAATTTTTACATTCAAAATCTCCAATAAATCAAACAGGAAACACTATGATATTATATTGATAACTAATAACAAATGCATTTGTGAGAAATCAGCTGAATCTTAAATATAGTTCTTGATCACGAGACAGATAAGGACGGTATCACCGGAAATAATAAATCCATTAAAATTATTGTTTGCCAACTTACAGATCTAGTTTTCTAATATTGAATTTTTATATAGCAATATATGTTTTTATTAGCCTTGTATTGCAAATATTCACTTGAAAATGTTATTTTGTTGTTTTAGTTGATTTACATCTTTTAGAGATTGAAATGATACAGACGTTATATGAGCCGCGACATGACAAAATTAACATAATGGGTTTGCGACAAACCCTATAACAAGTAGAGAAACTGATAGCGAACAGCATGGATCCTGATCAGACTGCGCAGATGCTGGTCGCAAACCCATTATGTTGGTTTTGTCGTGACACGGCTCATATATGTAAGATATTAAGTATAAAAAATACTTCCAGATGAATTCTTTGAAATTCTCGATGAAATTATCGCAATTATCATATACAAAAGTTTCCATGGAAACTGTGACTCATTAACATTACTGCCTATAGTTAAACACACCTTTATTGATGAAAAGTGTCTTTGGACATTGTTCTTTTCACTTGTTTCATAGCAACTTCCTTAAAAGTAGATAAACAACAAACAAGATATGAAACAACCGTGAAGGATTTTGCCTAATTAAAGTTATAGTTATTGTTTTTATCTTATACATGTTCGCACCAGTATAGACAAAAAGTAACAATTCTATGCCGATTTTTTAATTCGGGTGTGTGATAATGGCATCTGGGATTCACAATTTCATTCTATCAAATTCACAACTCCAACTCCATTATATTGCAAATGAATCATATTGTATCGGTAAAAAAGTAAAATATGTGTCCATAAACTCTTCACGTGAACCCACGGGGAAAAGCGGGACGCTTTGGAGAAATAATTGCTTCGAATTATATACATGTATATACGAGCACATGTATTTTTATCATACCGGTGCATAATAATATTTTATCATATCGTATTACAAACATTATTAACTTCAAACAATACACTGTAAAACCTTAACAATATTTAAAAAAAAACAATTAGATAAATACGTTCCTATGGAGTATATTTATTGTTCTATAAATAGATTCAACATGAAAGATCTTTTAAATTTAGGATGTGGAGTTTTGAAAACAAGAGTGCTATATACAGGTGAAACTATCTATATTTTTGTATCATTTTCTCAACATGTTCTTTGTCTTTGGCTGTACGAAACTATGAGTAGCAGATGAACCCTAAAGTTTATGTAATACGAAGTGTCGCAACGACCAACCACAAAAGCGATTGACCTTCAATAAACTGGTTTGATTCTTGCTGAAAGAAGTACAGAAGTCATCATGGAATCTGATTGATGGCCCTACTGAGTACCCCATTCAAGTACCAGTGCACTTGTGGCGGGATACGTAAAAAATGTTTTGTTAGACAAACCGCATTGATTATAAAAGAAAACAATAGCACTCGTTGCCATCCAAAGGGGGAGACGTCACTTAGTGGTTACGATGTTTCCTCTCACAAGACACAGATTTAGGCTTCAAGTCTATCGGGGTTACGACGATGTCTGCTGGATCAACAGGAATTACTGATCGAAAATATACATGTACATACAGGACTGTCCTAACATCGTGAGTCACGGATCAAGATGCAAAAAAATAAATTCAGTTATATTTGTATAAAAGGTATAACTTGACATTTGAATTGTGAATATTTACGCATTTTTTCAACTTTAATATGTTTTGTTACGTTCCATTGTTTGAATATTTATTTATCAGGAGATGTCAGCTTTAAGTCAAAGT